TCATCATCATCATCATCATCATCATCTCTCTTCACATGAACAGGCACTGTAAGGCCTTGGTGCTATATACTGTACGCCTTACACAGAGCCACACAAAGTTATACAATGTAGGTGTAGTATACACAGTAGGTACATCATGGTATTCCATGTTCACTTGATAATTCACTTATAATTAATTTACATCATATGCCACATTCAAAGTTATCACAGAACAAAATAGTATGCCTCATGGTCTAGACCATGTTGGGCTCTGGATTGTAGAGCAAGGCTGAAAAATGAATTCACCATACATGATCCAGAGTTAAGCTTGGTACTGATAAGCCACCAGGTGTAACTGAAACGGACTTTTAACTTTACAACTCACTGTCACTGTCTGCTCTACTATTAATGGTGTTTTGGAGCACTGACAAACAGTCTGTCCACTAATGCCTAACCTTCATCACTTGTCCGTCCCCTGTCAATCAGAGCTAAACCCACCCAGACGATGCTGGTCACCAGAATGGCCAGCAAGAATAGAACCACTGATGTCTCATAAACGCGTGCCATGATACCCTGCAAGAAAATGGAATTCACACGACATGTGAAAGATGAACATGGAACAGCTGTGAGAACGTACAGTCAAGAGAGACCTAATTTAATAAGTTCTACCGTTGTTATGGCAACCTATTATGCCATGAAGATGACACCGACGATTTGGCGTATTTTACACGATATTAATATTGCAACATCACTGTAGTAATATTGACCTGTTCAAGTAACACTGCTGGAAAATGCTGGAAACTTCTACCAGCCACCTTACAAGTAAGAGGGATAATTTTTAACATGTAATCTTGCCCATGCAGCTTATAAATTAGTTGTTTCATCAACCACTAACTTAGGTGTAGCCCAGTCAGTAGATCACTGACCAAGTCATTGATAATGAACTGGTTGTTGCATTGACTATTATTAGTAAATACAATGCAATGTATATATGTACAGTACATGTAACTTAAGAGGTTATTAACTAAAGTAATTATAATGAATGTTACCTTTCGTGAACCAGCGAATCCTTCTGACTCAGTAAAGAAGTATGCAAATGGAATAGCAACAAAGAGTGACATGTATGAGCCTAGAAATATCTGGTTCCACATTCCTGTCGGAGATGGTCAAAGAGGAAAATCATGAGCAAATATACATACAAAAAATATAAATTAATACAATGTGTGTTTGTCATTGTTGTTGCTGTTGCTATTGTTTGCATTGTTTCACTAGATGCATACATAACATGGGCTGTCATTAAAATTTGAGTCACCAGTGCAGCATTGTTGTCCACAACTGTAGCAAACTTGTCACCTTGTGGGTGAATCAACAGCAAGCAATGGCACTCAAATTCACGGTTAACTTTTCTCATTTGCATTACTGTTTACAATGTAATCTAGCATGTACAGTATGTGAAGCAATTTTGGGTTATTTTGTAGTTTCAGGCTCAGCCCAAAATTGCCTGGCATCTATGTTGGATTACATTGTAATGCAAATGAGACTCAGGAACTAAGTGTGAAAAGGGCTATTTTACCCGAAGCATCAAGGAAAAACCAAGAATACCAAGGCCAAGACATGTGTAATGGGCTGCAGCCATTAATGACAGCCCTGTTATCTTAAGTCACTTACCATGGATAAGTGAGCCGTTAAGCCATTTGATGTAGTAACTATTGGGATACATAATCATGATCTCATTACTCAATATTGACATCGGCAACAGAAGGACTGCACCAAGAGACACTGTCAGGGTAAACGTGCACAGCCAAAACCTGCAAAATATCATGTATACACAGCATATTAAATGTTCAAAGTCATCCTAATGGAAAATGATCATATATAAAATGATAAGTATTTCTCATGTATGAAATAACTTGACAGAATACTTACGAAATCCGATAAACAAAGGCATCTTCTTCATCTTTAAATGAAGCGGAAAAAATTAAGTTAACAACTACAGGTACAGTAATTTGTATTGAATTCAGTAACATTTTCCGTGGTGTTGTTTAAGTTTTAATTCTAATAAATAGATACCTCATGTATTAATGTGTAGTTTCAGAAAACATCCATTGATACCTTCCCCACGGAAGGGGCTTTTTTTCTAAGACCCCATCCCCACCCCTTTAGAAGTTGCAATAAAGCTTCATACATTCCCTCGCCCTCCCCACCAGCAGGCCCCCTTTCACACCTCCAGAAAATTCCAATCCCTTCTGTGGGGGGAGTATCGGCCCATTCCATGATATTTTCTGGAGCAACATGCAATAAACATCTATTAATGTTGGTCAGATTGGAAAATACACATACATGTATAAAAATTTGCATTAAAAATTTTACTGTCAGGTGTCCATATTACACTGTGCAGTCAAGCATCAAGAAGCTTGGAACTTTGAATTTTGACAAGTTCTGGTTTACATGTTTCTGATATAAAATGCAATAATTACCACTTTCATTTGGTGATAAAAAGGTAGAAAATAAATCCCTCGTGGTCATTTGACTGGTAACATATTTAAACTCAATCAGTTGCTTGTTTCTCCCATTCTGTTGATAAATGACCAATTATTTTCTCCTACTTTGATCCCAAAATGGTGTTAAATATTGTATTTTATATCACAGAAAAAATGATAGCCAAAACTTGTAAATTAAAGAAATTTGAAACTAAAATTGACCACTTGCTCATGGAAAATTGAATTTTTGTGGCGTAGAAAGCTTTCACTTATTATAACCGATAGCATTGCATAGATAGTTCCCCCTAAGAAATTAAATCTGGTTTGACTGCAATTGTATGAAATCAGGGCTCAAAAAAAGTACGGTCCAGTTTTCCAGGACAAGTAGATTTTCCCTCTGGGCAAGTAACTTTTTATTCTAACTTGCCCAAATGGCAGAGTGATTCAGTCAATTAAGTCCTCTGTCAACCAAATCATTGAAAAAGCAAACTAAGACTTATGCCCAGGGCAAGCAAAATTTTACAGCTAATTGTCCCAAGGGCAAGCTAGAAGTAAAGTTCTTTTCAAGCCCTGGTATTTTATTTAGAGAATTTACATATTGATTAGATGCACAGGGAACCAAATGTAATTAGCAACAACATTAGGTGAAGTTTGTCACCTTGCTCACCTGAATCAAGTTCATCTCTTCGTCTTTTGTAAGTGCTGATTACAGCATGAGAAATACCATACAAAATAATGAACACAAGCAGGGATATCTAAATTGGACAAAATAACACACTCATTAATAATAATAGAGCTCATTATATGGCTAGCTGCGTAAGCAGGAAAGATGGACCAAATACTACACTGTGATTGGCTACCCAAATACGCAAGCTGACATGATCTTGTCCGCTCAGGATTACGCCCTGTGTCCCACAAGGTTCCCCAAAACTCATACTGACAGTAAATTCTTTATTGACCCAGCTTGTTTGGTCAAGATCACTGGATATTGGAATCATTCATTTTTTACCCTGTTTATAATGAACCTTGACTCCAGCTTGGTCAATAAACATTCAAAAAAAGAACTCGGCAAATATGCAATCCCCTTGAGCTCATGCTTGGTCA